TCGCGAAATTGCTCCGCCGGGACTTCAGCTTCAAGTTCTGACATATGTCTCGTCATCATTCATCGAAATTGAAGTGTATCCTTTTTGAATGTGTTGTAGCCATTCCGGGAAGCGGATCGGAGGCCGTGATCGAGTCGCCTTCGCCGAAACACGCATTCTCAAGCTTGTGAGTTTAGCACTTGATTATCTTTGAGAGATATACTGACTTGATCGTCAGAGTGCCCCCGGGTGGAAGAGCCACTGTCGGAGCCCTTTCTTTCTGTTACAGGTTACTGGAGCCATCTATTCTGCCGGTGCTCTCCAGCTGATTACTAGGCGGGCAGTGTGGTAAGAAAATTACCTACACAATTTGGCGCCGTCTGTGGGAATCTTAGAAGAATAGATGGCCAGTAACGGACAAGGGGAAAACATTGGGGGTGAAACTCCTGCTGGGAGTGGTAGACCAATCGACCTTGACTTTGAAGGAGACAACCACAGTACAAAAAATCATGACCAGGGCCACGGAGAAAAAGACGTCAGCCAGGAAGGCGACGCTTCAAAATGGACAAACCAAAACAAGTACTACAACGAAGATAACCTTTAGGTTTGGAGGGATAGGTACTTATGAAGGGATGAGGAAGTAAAAGACTTGGCAAACAAGCTGGCAGGCCTACAGTCAGTGGTCAACTTCATGATGCAAAACAATGTTATGCAGCCACCATACCCACTGCAAGATACACCGATGCCAGCGATTAATACCCAGAAGGGAGGAAGAAAAGCAATCCCCGAAGCCCCTCAGCACACCAGGAGTGCAAGCCACTCTCACTGACATTCCAGGGAAGTCGGACGAGAGGAACCAAGGCAAGAAGAGTCCCGAAGGATACATCGCATGAAGGATTCAGGGCCCAAAGAACATCGGCATGTTCAAGGGCAAGCGCTCTGCTTTGACACAACCCATGGAGAAAGATCGAAACGGGCCCACCACGAGGCCGAAAGTAGTGTGCCGAAAAGATTGAAGTCCAGAGATAGCCGAGCTCCAGGTAGGAGTAAGGAAGACTTGAGGGACTACTTCAAAAGGAGGCAGCAGAATGTTGAAACCGAGGTGACTTCTAAAGTTAAGCCGAGAACACCATTCTCGGTGGAACTGGATAAATTTGAAGCACCAAAGAGATTCAGTATGTCGAGGTTCCAAATTTATGATGGTAAGTCAGACCCAACTTTCATGTTGGACTATACCTGAATTCAATGGCATTATACAGTGGGAACGAGCCGTTGCTCTGCAAAGTATTTCCCTCATCCTTTGGGGCAATTACATCCGATTGGTTCCATAAACTACCGAAGGGAAGCGTAAAGACATGGGAAGGCCTGGCCGAGATAGATTCATCAGCAGAAGCTCAGATAAATGCAGACCCTTCTTTAACCTGGTGAAAAAAGCTACAGACTTTCTGTGGATAGAAGAATGCGAAGCCACTTTAACCGACCTAAAGAAGTACTTGACCACAACTCCGGTTCTTTCCAATCCAGAACTAGGGGAAGAATTGTTTTGTACTTGGCAGTTTCAGAACACGCAGTAAGTGCAGTACTAATCCGAGAAGAAAAAGGGGAGCAAAAGGCTGTAACAACGGACCGACCAAACAAGAAACAGAATTGAAAGGTAAACAGGCAGTGACCACGGTGTTCCGAATCCCTATCCATAAAGTCTTGGATCAAATACGGAACCAACCCTATTTCA